GAGAAGGAGGCCACCTCGGAAATGCGCTTCAAGAGCAAGGTCGGCAAGCTTCGGCCCAGACAACTGTCCTACCTTTCGGTGTATCAGGATGCCACGCCCTGCATATTGACGGACCTGCACCTCGGCCGTGACGTGGTTGTCTTCCCGGTGTTGCTCCACCCAGACCGTCAGCGCTGGGTCCTGTACGCTAAGCCCGATGACATCGACTCCTCCCAGGTCCCCGCCGAGTGGTGCCTAGTGCGCCTACCCCCTTGTGGCTGGCTCCACTCCGGCTCGTGTGCGCGCCGGGCCGGCCACCACACACACACACACACACACACACGCAGGCACACACACACACACACACACACGCAGGCACACACACGCAGGCACACACACGCAGGCACACACACGCAGGCACATGGATACTTGGATGCCCACACCTCCAGGCCACTTGTAGCTTGGGCCGACACAGTGTGCGCTAAAAGACGGCCGAAGGGCGGGCGGGGGGGGGGGGCGATAAAGGGGCATGCTTGCACCCGGCCCAGGCTCCGGGCCACTTGGCGGGGACCGGCGAACGAGCAACGTACCAGCTCGGCATTGCCGGTGCCTCGGTGGCGCTCGATGGTGCGATGGAAGGATCCAGGACCATCGCCGGCGGCCGCGGCCGCAGTGGCCGCCAAAGACGAGGAGGAGGATGAAGCGCTCGGACCGGCGCTGGTGCTGGCATCGGGCGACCCCTGGGCCAGCTCCTGGAGAACCAGCTCCTCGATGCTCTGTCGCACATGGGGCAGCAGATGCCGGGCGAAGAGCGGCCCCCAGGGGAGCGCGAGGCGTCATCCGGGCAACAGAGCGCGCGAGTTAGAAAACCCCCGGAAGTGCATCCCCCCCGCAGACCGACCGGCAGCGGGTGTCTCTGCCCGGGCGGCGGGCACCCCCCCCCCCCCAGACCCCGCGGCCGCATGCCTCGCTCTCTCACAGAGGGGGCTTTTGGCCGCTGCCTTGAGGCCGCCCGGGCCGGGCGTGCCGGTCGGGCCCCGGGGAGGCCGGCGGCCCGCCGCTGACCATGCGCACCTCGATGGCATCGCCGAAGCCCGCCAGGAAGGAATCCTTCTGCACGATGTAGCTGGCCACCGCGGCCGACAGCTCCTGCCGGCAGGTGGTCAGGGCGCGGATCTCGCGGATTTGTCCCTGAATGGCGGCCGTCGACTGGGTCAGAGCCGCGGGCAGGGGGATGGGCTCGGCGCCCGGGCCGCGGGTGTACAGCATCATGCTGGAGTTGGTCGGCATGCCGCCGCCGCCGCCGCCGCCGCCGCCGCCGGCCATGGCCGCCGCCGGCACGCCGCCATCCTCATCCAGCGACGTGGTGGACATGAAGCTGGACACGGAGTCGGCGCGCATGGTGCCGGTGGTCCGGCCCCCGAGCGAAGCTGCTCCAGCCGGGCCGCCAGCACGGCCGCCCGGGGCCAGCATGCTGGTCGTGGACATGGCCCGGCTGGCCGAGTGGCCCATACCGCGCAGGGCCCCCGGGCTGCCGTAGGGCCCGGCCCCGACAGGGCCGCCCAGCATCAGCGACATGGCACTGGGCTGGCGCAGGCCGCCGCGGGCCTGCTGCTGCTGCTGCTGCTGCTGCTGAATGCGCGATCCGCCCAGGGCCCCGGGCGAGGCGACCAGGGCGGCAGTCGAGGTGGCCGCCGCCGCCGCCGCCGCCGCCGCCTGATAGTCCAAATCCGCCAGCAGCAGGGCGTCCTCCTGCTGGCGACGGCGCGCGCGGAGGCTCTCCAGCTGGGCGCGCTCGCGCTCGGTCAAGCCGCTGGGGAGCTCACGCGGCGGGGGGTCCGTGAAATCGGCCAGGGCCAGGAAGGGCTGGGCCAGGAGCTCACCCCCGGGCCCGGTTGCCAGCTTGATGGCATCCGGCTCGGACAAGGGGGCCACCGAGCCCCGAGACCCGGGGTGCGCGCCTGCCGGCGGCGATGCCACCCCCCCGTCGGAGGAGGTGTCGCTGGCCGAGTGCCCGGAGGAGGCCCCCTCATCCGGGTGCTCGATTTGCACCCAGTCCTTGTCCGGCACCGTGAGCCACCCGGAGCGAGTGAGCAGCAGGCACCCGTCATCACGCAGGACCCGGCGCAGGACCCGGACAATGTCCTGGTGCTTGCGGTGGAATTCCAGCAGCCGGTCATAGTGCAGGGGCACCGGCATGGTGGCGGAGCCGATGCCGGCCGAGGCCGGGCCGCCGGGCGGCGGCACCAAGGGAAGCATCAGCATGGAGTCGTCGCCGGCGCCACCGGGGCCGCTGGCCCCGGAGGAGCTGGAAAACCCGGGCAGCGTGAAGGTGCTGCTGCCGATGCCGCCCGAGCCGGCAGGCAGGCCGCTGGAGCCGGCGCCAAGCCCCGCCAGCCCGGGGCTTCCCACGGCAAGCTGGCTCCCGGCGTTGACGTCATCCGACCCGGCCAGGGGCGGGCTGGCCAGCAGGGTGGGCGAGGTGAGCATGCACGCACGGAGGGTTTTCATGGCCCGCTCGACGCGGCGATTGGCCCGGTCGATGGCCGTG